GTCATGCTGAAAGACCCAGCCACGTTTCATCTTCAATGCCCTTGCTGATGGAAGGAGGTTTTCACTCAAAATCTCACGATACATGGCCCATTTCATTATTTCCTTTACACGGATCAGTCGTCCTGGTCCCTTTGCAGAAAAACAGCCCCAAAGCATGATGTTTCCACCCCCATGCTTCACAGTAGGTATGTTGTTCTTTGGATGCAACTCAGCATTCTTTGTCCTCCAAACACGACGAGTTGAGTTTTTACCAAAAAGTTGTATTTTGGTTTCAACTGACCATATGACATTCTCCCAATCCTCTTCTGGATCATCCAAATGCACTCTAGCAAACTTCAGACGGGCCTGGACATGTACTGGCTTAATCAGGGGGACACGTCTGGCACTGCAGGATTTGAGTCCCTGGCGGCGTAGTCTGTTACTGATGGTAGGCTTTGTTACTTTGGTCCCAGCTCTCTGCAGGTCATTCACTAGGTCCCCCCGTGTAGTTCTGGGATTTTTGCTCACCGCTCTTCTGATCATTTTGACCCCACGGGGTGAGATCTTGCGTGGAGCCCCAGATCGAGGGAGATTATCAGTGGTCTTGTATGTCTTCCATTTCCTAATAATTGCTCCCACAGTTGATTTCTTCAAACCAAGCTGCTTACCTATTGCAGATTCAGTCTTCCCAGCCTGGTGCAGGTCTACAATTTTGTTTCTGGTGTCCTTTGACAGCTCTTTGGTCTTGGCCATAGTGGAGTTTGGAGTGTGACTGTTTGAGGTTGTGGACAGGTGTCTTTTATACTGATAACAAGTTCAAACAGGTGCCATTAATACAGGTAACGAGTGGAGGACAGAGGAGCCTCTTAAAGAAGAAGTTACAGGTCTGTGAGAGCCAGAAATCTTGCTTGTTTGTAGGTGACCAAATACTTATTTTCCACCATAATTTGCAAATGAATTCATTAAAAATCCTACAATGTGATTTTCTTGATTTTTTTCTCTCAGTTTGTCTGTCATAGTTGACGTGTACCTATGATGAAAATTACAGGCCTCTGTCATCTTTATAAGTGGGAGAACTTGCACAATTGGTGGCTGACTAAATACTTTTTTCCCCCACTGTATATCTGTCATTCAGATGATACAATAACATATTTGTATATGAATTTCCAAAATATTATAGGTATTATTCACATTTTCTTCTAATGAGCTGTACTTTTACAATATCTTTGTATTGTGCTTTTTTAATGAACTATTTTTTATCCACCAGATGGCATGAGTGCTTTCTTACAGTAAATGGATATTGTCATCATCATCAACTTTTCCATATAACCTGCTTTGGTCAAACTTCCTTTCAGCCTAATATAGATCTTAGGCTCTTAAATGTGTGAGTTAAAGTAAAAATGCCGTACCCCATCAGTGGAAGACCCATTGAGATTTTCAGAATGACTTTTTGGGGAAGAGTGTGCCTTCTCAGTTTTATGATGTCATATTCAAACAGACCACCATAGTCCCTGTGCCCAAGAAAGCGAAGGTAACCTTCCTAAATGATTAGTCCTCTCCTGTACTCCTTGTTCACCCACGACTGCGTGGCCAAGCACGACTCCAACACCATCATTAAGTTTGCTGACGACACAACAGTGGTAAGAGCGTCTGCTAAATGACGTAAATGTAAATGTAAATGTACGCCTGATCACAGACAACGATGAGACAGCCTATAGGCAGGAGGTCAGAGACCTGGCAGTGTGGTGCCAGGACAACAACCTCTCCCTCAATGTGAGCAAGACAAAGGAGCTCATCGTGGACTGTAGGAAAAGGAGGGCCGAACAGGCCCCCATTAGCATCGACGGGGCTGTAGTGGAGTGGGTCGAGAGTTTCAAGGTCATTGGTGTCCACATCACCAACAAACTATCATGGTCCAAACACACCAAGACAGTCGTGAAGAGGGCACGACAACACCTTTTCCCCCTCAGGAGACTGAAAAGATTTGGCAGGGGTCCCCAGATCCTCAAAAGGTTCTACAGCTGCACCATCGAGAGCATCCTGACCGGTTGCATCACCACCTGGTATGGCAACTGCTTGGCATCTAACCGTAAGGCATTACAGATGGTAGTGCGTACGGCCCAGTACATCACTGGGGCCAACCTTCCTGCCATCCAGGACCTATATACTAGGCGGTGTCAGAGTAAGGCCCAAAGAATTTTCAAATACTCCAGTCATCCAAGTAATTGACTGTTCTCTCTGCTACTGCACGGCAAGCGGTACCAGAACGCCAAGTCTAGGTCCAAAAGGCTCCTTAACAGCTTCTACCCCCAAGCCATAAGACCGCTGAACAATTAATCAAATGGCCACCTGGACTGTTTACATTGACCCCCCCCCCCCCTTTATTTTTACGCTGCTGCTACTCGCTGTTTATTATTAATGCATGTTCACTTTACCCCTACCTACATGTACAAATTATTTTGACTAACCTGTACCCCCGCACATTGTCTCGGTACCAGTACCCCCTGTATATAGCCTCGTTATTGTTATATAATTTTCTTGTGTTACTTTATTTTTTACTTTAGTTTATTTAGTAAATATTTTCTTAACTCTATTTTTTTAACTGCATTATTGGTTAAGGGCTTGTAAGTAAGCATTTCACAGTAAGGTCTACACCTGTTGTATTTGCGCATGTGAAAATGTATGCACTCTGTAAGTCGCTCTGGATAAGAGCGTCTTCTAAATGACTGAAAATGTCAAATGTAATGTGACAAATACAATTTGATTTGATATGATTTGATATCCTGTCTGCAGGAGTTCTGAGGAGCTGGTCAGTACTGGTATTGTGTATCACTTCCTTTTAATATTGAAATGTGGACATGCAAGTCTATGATAGCAAAGGGGTCTTCCAAGTAAGCAAAGGTCAGGCTCATGGGCCAGGGTCTGGTATTTACATGGAAACAATATTGAATATTTGTATTACTGTGTTGAATTCCAGGTAGTAACCTACGTATGCATGATTACCAGTTCTCCCATATTGCCTCCTCATCCTAAAGATAGGTCATGCCGAATAATTACATTAGTGGTGTATGACTATTTTCAGTATCCCTGCATGATCTGGAAGGTCACTGTTCCAGTTAGGGGGTTTCTGTGTCTATGTGTTTATGTCTATGTGGTCAGACAGACAACCAGCAGCCAGGTCATTGTCACTGCTCCTGAGAAACAGAAACTGGAAATGACATCACCAAAAGATGTTACCTGAAACGTAGAAGTGAGGCCTTTGTCAGAAACCTGGGACCCACTACCTTCTGAAAAAGTGTGCAGGTGTTTCATATCCCTCAGCCACACTGTCCTATGACCATGCAGAAGAAGTCATACAAACACTTCTCCAGACATATGAAGCCTAAATGAAAATGCACACACACTGTTATGATATTTTCTCTCTCTTTCACTCTCTCTCTCTAACCCCCCTCTCTCTCTCACTCGCTCTCTCTCCCCCTCTCTCTCTCTCTCTCTCTTTCTTTCTCTTTCTTTCTCTTTCGTTCTCTCTCGCTCCTCCCCCGAACCCTCCCTCTATCTTCTCTGCAACATTGTGTGGTCTGCTCATAAAGTAACAAAACTACCGGTATCTGTGAAACATCATGACCATTAACCACACAACCACCAGCAGCTAGGAAACACAGGCTCCAAAACCACCACAATCAGACTAATCAACACAGTGACAGACCCCAAACACACCCACACCTCATCGTCTAACTCTCAAACTGAGTGAAGGGTTATTTTCAGAGAGCAACTATAGAATGTGACTTCCTTTTCAACTAACATACAGGAATTATTTTATAGAACAGCAGCCCTCATCAAAAGGAAGTCTCTGCTCTTTCTCTACTCTTTCTTCTCTGTGTGTTTTGGTTAGTCAACTGCTTGCTACCAGTGACAGTGATAGATGAGGACATACAGCCAGAGGAAACAGTCATACAACGCCTTAAAGAGATGTCTGGTGGTCCCTTCTCCTGCTTCTCCAAACAGGGAATACTCCTTCTCCTACTCTACAACCTAAAAAGGTTTCTCTTAAAACTCCCTTGCGTATTGATGGATTTTATATGGTTTGGTACACTATTCCATTCCACAAGTGTTTTAAGGAGAGAGCTTTTTCCAGCCATGCTCCTACAGTGCAGCAGTCTGATATTGGCAACATTAGCTCTGGTGTGATGGCTATGAGAGTCTACTGAAATTAAAATAACCAGACAGGTAACTGGGGGCAAGGTCATGTCTCACTTTAAAAACCATCAACAGTTTGATCTGCACCACCACCAGATCAACTGGAAGCCAGCTCAGTTCCCTGAAATGATTAGGACCAATGTGCGTCCCAATGACTGAGCTTCAGTATAATTCTCATTAGTTTGTTTTGGGTCGTTTGAAGTTTGTCCTTCAGATTTTTTGATACGCCACTGAACCATGAGAATTCATGACAGAGCTGTTTTTGTGTAAGGGTTTATAATACCTTATTTCAGACTGACATGTATTTATAATGTATTTATAATGTCGCCCATGCAGTATATGATGCATTGGTGATGAATAATTACACAGTAACCACAGTGTGATTTGTACTTGTCAGCTGAGGAGGGGTTATCAGATCCACCCCCACTTCTCTTTTCCTGTCATCTCATCCTGTTCTGCTGAATGTGGGGGAGGACCTGACTTTAATGAAGTAAAATAGGACCCACACACTCAGATACGTACAGATAGAAAGTGCAAATATGTAAAGTGCCATTTACAGTATAAATGACACCTGGAAAAGCACTATATAAATCCAATCCATTATTATCTATTAATTGATTGTGTAACACTTTGCATTGCAGTGTATTATTGTTTAATTATTAATGTAGGCACACTGTAACACATATTACAATGTAACAATGAGTAATTACAATACTTGCTACACAATACTTACATTAATAATTATACAGTGAAAAGATCATTGTAATATAGTATGCAACCATTGATTGATGTCAGAATAACATATATATTTGTGTGTTTCAGGTGTGGGTGTTCCTCTGTTCATCAACAAGACAGTGGGGGACTCCGTGGAGCTGCTGGCAGGCTTAGAGCGGGGACATTTCATATCATTGCAGTGGAAGTATAGAGGAAAGGATATTGTAGAAGTCAACTCAGAAGTTGTATATTCACCTGGATCCCAGTTCGAGGGGAGACTAAAGATGAACAACAAAAACTTTAGTTTAACGGTCAGAGAACTGCCACTGCAAGACTCAGGGGATTTTCTAGTTATAGGCGAAGGGGACAAAGGTCAGATTGGCGGTAGGACCATCACTCTGAAGGTCAACCGTAGGCTGTTATCACCTTTTTTCATCCTATTTTGATATCATTCTAATTTATATCCAAGACCACGGCTGATTATCTTTAAACTATAATGAAGATTTGTTGGTTTTATACTGACCTTACTCGCCATGCTTTGATACATTTCCATCACATTAACAAGTTTTATCCTCTGTCGTCTTTCTCCTGGTGGTATGGCTATGGTAGGGATCATTTAGAAGACTGATTATGTGTCTCTATCTCTCTCCTGGTTGGTCAGAGCCTATATCCAAGGTGGTGATCCAGACAGACATCATGCTATTGGCCAACCACTCCTGTATGGTGCGGCTGGTGTGCAACGTGTCCTGCTACTCCAACCTTACATACACCTGGGAGAGAGACAACGAGATGTACGGGGACGCCCAGCAGATTCACCTCTCTCTCTCTCCTGCAGAGAGAGTCATCATTGTAACATGCAACGCCTCCAACCTAGTCAGTTGGAAATCTGCCTTTGTGACAGTAAAGTGTAGTAATGACAAAACCGCCCCAGGTACCTAGATATCATAATAATCCCTTCCATACACTTTTCAGTGTGCTTATATGCTTATGTTGTCAAATATAATATATAATGCTTGTGATTACATTGGAAGTGTATGATATAGAGCCATTTAGTCTTTATCATATTGTATCGTCTAATCATGTGTGTTGTACAATGTGTGACAGGGATGGCATGGTACACCAACTACATCAGAGTATCAGTAGGAGGCGCTGTGGTGCTTATCCTCACTGTAGGTGTGGCAGTGTGCTACTGCAGGGGCCGCAGTAACCCAGATATGTACTGCTTAGGGCCCTTAACTATACTTAAAGTTAAATTTCAGGTGGATCTAGAAATATTCTTCAGATGATATTATTGATTTGTATTTGAATATTGAATTTGAATGTCTGTGATTTAATGGAAGACTATGTAGTCTACTTTGATAATAGTCTATACCTTTCTTGATGCTGAAACAGTTTTTTCTTGATTATCTGTCACATGTAGCCGCAGACTCAAACAAGCTCATATGTCGAATTTCTATTTTCTTGATTAAAGAGAAAAGTTGTAGATAATAGTATGAAATTGATTTGTGAGAATTATTTATGCCTGCGAGTAGAAAGTATACTCTTTTGCATTAGGATTAAGTGCTTGCCAGGCATCAATGAGGTTGTAATCACAGAGTATATGCTGGAGAGCCTTGGTTGCCTGTGGATTGTTGTTGGTCTTATTTGATTTGTCCGCATGTCCAAAATGTTATGCATGTCTGTCCCAATATCCAGATGGAATTCAGTTAATTCTATAAAAAAATATGCTGTTGTAGTGTATTGACATTATGATGGTGTGAAATGTTTTTTTAAGTGGAACTGAAAGAATGGTGATTTTGGTATCAAGAGGGAATGTTTTAGAGTAACGCCGCATACAACAGACAGGAAGTGTGGTGTAGACACGGGGATTGGACAGTAGAGGGAGCCACCCACATCTTGGGAGGTTATATATACTGGAGGAACAACGTCGAATGGGCAGAAAGCATTGAGATTTATTTGGGACTGCTTCTCCGGATCTCCGCGGGTCTGTTAACTTATGCTGTAACCTCGTGGTATTAATAAAAGCCTTTGAACACGGTGCAGCCTAAGCAGACTCCTTGATTGACGGTAACAACTACGAATAACCGACACTACAAATGGGGGCTCGTCTGGGATTCTGATTTCATCGTTCTTGGTCCCTTTCCTGGATTCGCGAGTTGACTACTGCCCAAGCCGGCTTTAAAGGTGAGATTACTCACAAAGAATTTGGGCATTGGTTATCCCGCTGATTCATGAGAGGGCTTTGAAGGTGTACAGTTAAAAGTACTTGGGTCGTTGTTGATGTAGGGTGTTGCTGTCGATTAGGAGTCTGGTAATAATTATTCTAAATTTGTACAGCAAGTGAAGGCAGATATTAACGGCAGATATTGGCAGAATAAAGTAAGGGAAATACGTATATAATTTTAGAGCATTGCAGGTTTAGATAAGCCCTCGGTACAAACGAGGCGACCGCATGGTGGGCCATAAAATCCTGACAACGCGTTAGGAGTTTCAGGTCAGTCTTGGACTGGGGTTGGTAGGACATTTTCTTGGGGATTGCTTGCTCATCTTCTGTCCGACGGGATATTTGCATGGGGGGGATCGCTCATAGAAATATCCATACTCACGGCAGAATAAATTTAGGACAAACGAAACAGTAATCAATTTAAGACGCAATGCGGGTTTTGTTACATGTTGTAGGCCGCAGTTGGCTAAAGGCTAATGCTAAATGCTAAATGTGTGTTGTGTGCCATTGTACCTAAAGCTAATGCTAATGCTAAATGCTAAATGTGTGTTGTGTGCCATTGTACCTAAAGCTAATGCTAATGCTAAATGCTAAATGTGTGTTGTGTGCCATTGTACCTAAAGCTAATGCTAATGCTAAATGCTAAATGTGTGTTTTGTCACATTGTACCTAAAGCTAATGCTAAATGCTAATTGTGTTGCGTGCTACATGATAACCTTAACCTTAGAGGTCCACTGCGATGGATTCAAGCCTCTTAAACTTGTTTGTATGTGGGTGGAACTGTAAGTTCTACGCAAATGTGAGTTCTGTTATGTGTTATTGTCTGGCTATAAGGGTAAAATAGAGAACTGAGGTAGGACGCTGGCGTTCTATGGTATGGTAAGAAGGGGGTTAAGGGGATGTGCGCATGCGCTTGATTTTACAGGGCTAAAACTACGACATGCGGTTATGTGCTAAGCCTACAGAACACGGCATTTTGGGTAAGGGTCATAGGTCTTTGGGGTTACCCTGCAGGGGTGAAATAGCTACAGATAAGGGGAAGGTGGACACGAATCTTTTAAAATCGTTAAAGTAACTGTTATTCGAACAAGAAACTAGTTGTTGAGATGTAGTAAATTTATAAATTAAATATATGTTGGCGAAGTATAATGCATTGAATTAAATGATGGATTAAAATAAAATAAAAATGTTTTGAGCGATCTATTTAGTCCTAGGTTCAGTCTTATGGCAAATATGAGTGGGGGAATATTGAATGTGGATAACTTGGTTAAGTGTATAAACTTTAAATGCTTGTCTGTACCGTTTTGTTCCCTTGTCATGTGAGGCTATAGAACGGAGCAAAGGAGAGAAAGGAGGGGCTAACGTGTGCGTGACGTGCCGTGACAAGGTGTGACGCAGGCAGAGGATCATTCAAAATCAGGCTAGTGCTTTTTTGTCTACAAAATCTTCCCTATAGGATGTTGGATGCAATGACACTCTCTCAGACGCTTGGCAACGGACTGATCATTTGAATAAAATTTGCATTTTGGTGTCTCTGTGCATTACTGGGCTTGATTGGGGGGTTCGGTTGGAAAGCAGGTACTGACATTATTCTGTGATATTAAAATACTTGGGTTCATATTAAACAATGGCATTTATTGGTGTGGTAGTGTTGTAGATTGGAAGTCCTTGTTTTTGTGATTGCTGTGAAGTTGACTACTGGTATTCACTTTCCGGAGGGGTTAAGGTAAGTGGGTCACTAATTGATAAATTGGTCAAATAGGTGTAGAAATAAAAGATTGGTGTTAATTATTCATAATTTGTAATTGATTTTTAATTGATATTTTCATTGATATTATTATTTTTTAATTAAATATAATTTTTTAATAAAATTTTTAATTGAATTTTTTTGGGGATTTTATTTTTAATTTAAAAAAATAAAATAAAAAATAATATTCATATTTAAAAAAAAAAAATTTTTTTTTTTTTTTTACTCGGGTTGTCTAGGTTATATTAATAATTATAGGGGGGGAAGCCATAGGCTATATAGGCTATATAGGCTAAAAATAAAATAGGTCACAATAAAGGAATATAAAAGAGTAGTTACAATGGGGAGAAAGGATAGCAAGGCTATGAAAGTTGATATAGTGGAACATAGTAATCCTTTAGTTAAGGGTATTGCGAGATTATCCGGCAAATGGAACAAACGTTGGCCTGACATTGAACAACCATGGCCAGTGGAAGGGACTCTTAACCCTGACGTCATCAACATCATGAAAGTGCTTCTGTCAATTTACAAGGCAGATCAGAAGAAGGGAAAATTGAAAGATACATTTCCAACAAATGTGCATCCTGATAACATTCTGATTGACCCGTTAGGACAACAAGAAAATCCGAGAGCCTATGTGTCAAGAGTTCATCAAGTGTGGAGAAATATTACTGGAAATGATCCAGATGTGAGTCAAATTGAGCAGTCAATTTTGAGAGCTAAACTGCAAATGGGACTGCCTTCACCAGTAAGGAGCAAACTGGCAGAAGTGGTTGGACTTGGAAGCATGACAAAAGGTGTCTATACAGATCACATAGCTCATCAAGTGGATCTGTACAGGAAGAAGGATCTCAACCAGAAAGAGCAGGACGAAGAAACTCTCAGAAAACTCAATCAAATACAACTGGGGGAGAATAAAAAGGATAAGAAACAAGCTTTGGTTATGCAGAGTCAGTGTGCACCAAACCAACAATCACTGCCACAGCTTCAACCAGAACAGTTCCAACCGCAATTGTACCAGCCACCCATGGCGGGACCAGTTGATTCATATCCACAGCCAATTTCTGGACAGACACAGAGTTGGAGAGGAAGAGGACGAGAAGGCTTCGGAGAAAAACATAGAGTTAAGTCATCCTTCCAGCAACGTTCAGAAGCATGTTATACTTGTGGACAGGTTGGTCACTTTGCCCGTGGGTGCAATTGGTCAGGAGGAGACAGAGGGAATTTTAGAGGAGGATACAGGGGCCAGTCAAGATCATCTGGAGGACCGGTGAACCCCTACAGGGGTCCGGAGCAAGGATTCTAGAGGTGCCTAGATGATCCGAAAGGGGGGTGTCAGCTGGTAGCATCAGGACCGGAAAAAGATCCAACAATTGAGGTGAAAATAAACAACCGACCATTGGAAGTGATGGCGGATAGCGGAGCTGCGTTCACCTGTGTTCGACCTGAAAATGCTACACATCTCCCTATGTCCAATCAACTCGTTAGGACAATCGGATTTGAGGGAGTAAAACAGCTGATTCCTCTTACGGAACCAATTGAGCTCTGCTATAAAGATCAGAAAATTACAATACCCATACTGGTATCAGAACATACACCTGTTGCATTATTGGGAAGAGATGCATTGTGTAAGTTGAACTGTACAATAAGATGTACACCAGACGGCTGTCTGATAGAAATGCCAAAGGAAAAGGTTTACCAATTGTCGATGATGACGGAGATGGATTCGTCTTCCGTATTCTGGATTGGAAATCTCAGTGAAGATTTTATGAAGCAGGCTAAGATATGGGAAAGATTTATGGTTGCAAATATGCCGGATGCGAAGCTTCCGGAATATCCATTCCATTGTACGCTCAAATATTTCAAGAAGGATGCTCAATCACACTCAGAGGAATGGTTGAGTCATCAACCGAAGAATGTTCAACTTAGCTCAAGTTGCATTATTTTAGGACCACAAGGAGCAGCTATGAAGATAAACGCAGACGAGTATCTGAATAGAGAATTTGATATTGAGAAGAGTGTGCCACATGTGACCTTGTTGGTTTCGGAAGGCTATGAACAAAAGCAAATAGGAGAAATGATGACAGAAGCAGAGAAACTTAGTTTCAGACCAATGAAAGTGAATTTGGCGATCTGGAGAAGTGAAGATCAACAATTTCTTAAAATAATGATTTCGGCTCAAGGACAAGGAGAGCCACAGGCTGTAGGAATGACACATGAATCTATTTGCAATATGAAGATTG